GCTGACGGTTCGCGATTGGTGTCGCCGGAGATGGTGAATTTCTCGCTGCCAGAACTGAGAGCAGGGGGTCGATAATTTATAAGACATACATGGCGGCGGCGACACAGTGGCAGTGAAAGCAGTGATAAATGGTTCTTATGTTTCGTCGGTCGGTGTTGCCTGAGGTGAAGATCTTCTTATCGTCGCCGGATTTGATCAGCGGGTGCAAGAGTGAGAGGGTGTACACGCCGGCGTGGGCGCCGGTCTCAGATGGCGAGAAATGGCCGTCGGTAGGGCGGCGTAAAATGGCCGTCGGTAGGGGCGGCGAAAATCTGCACGGTGGCAGTTGTCTGTATGCGCGACTGCATTTGTGTGTGTGTGTGAATGTGTGTGTTGTGAGAGAGAGAGAGGGAGTGGAGAGGTAGAAAGGTTAAAGCCTTGCTTGGCAATATGTTGTTAGCTGTTAGCTGTTAGCGAATTTTGTTAGTTGTTTTGACCAGCTGATAGTGTTAGCTGTTTTGATCAGCTGATTATATTAGCGGTTTATAAAAATATGTTTGGTAAAATTACATGTTTGTTGCTAGTTATATATAAAACTATTTGTAATATACTTTAACATATTTTTTTTAGGTTATAATCATAATCACCTTAAAATATAGATTATTTACATGTTTAAAAAATTGAAAATAAATTAATAATAATATATTGGTAGAAATATAATTTTCGTGTCTTGAGTATTTGAAATGAAGAGTCAAGAGTAACTAAATAAAATATTTAAAATAAATAATGACGTATTTTCATGCTATAATATTGTTGTTTACAAATAAGAAAGAATAAATACTTTACACTCAGCACAAAAAGAAAAAAAAAATGAAGGTTTTATAGTGTTCATCGTTTTAAAAAATATAAACTAATTAACACTTTACACTCCACACAAAAGGAAGAAAAAAAATAAAAAAAGGGGGCATGAGTGTCCAATTTCCAAACATTTTTTTTTTTTTGGTACAAGGACCTTCCAGTTTCCGGATCCACAGGAGAACCGACTAATTCGGAATCGAGCCGGGTAGGACCACAAGGCGGCAAAGCTCTCCCTCAAGAGTTTTAACACTGCTGCATTCTCAGGGCTCGAACACGAGACCACTGGTTAAGCTGGAAGAGACCCAAACCATCTCATCCAAGCGCTATTGGGTAATTTCCAAGCATTTTAAATCATGTAATTACATGCCCAAATTATAAAAATGTTAATGTGAAACGCTTCAAGGAGCAGCGTTTCCAAGTTTGGCGTTTTGGATAAAAAAGCTGCTTCCATAAGATATTTTATCAAACATCTATTTTTAACTGGTCAAATTGTCAAACAACTAATATTGGTCAAAAAGCTAAAAATTGGCTAAAACGCCATTATCCAAACAAGGCCTAAATGAATGTGGACGGGTGAAGATGTAATGCTGGTGGGGTACAATTAATTATGGGAATCTGAAATTACAGAAGTACCCTTTTAAGTGTCCAATTGACCATGAAATATACATGTATTTACAATTATTATGTTTGACTTCATCATGTCCATTCATATTATTGATCCAATGATAAAAACTCATTCTTATTTCTTTCACTATCTTCCTTTCTCATATGATCCATTATATATATATATATATACATGGGTTGGGTTCAAGTGAGAATGGTTCTCAATGAAAGAAATGAGAATAAATCATAGCCATTAGACCGGATGATCTAATGGCTAAAAAATTTAGCATTTATTTATTCATTAAGGGTATTTTAGACATTTTATCATGTTACTAATTAAATAATGCCAACTAAAAAGTTACTTGGTGCAATTATTTAACGCCACGTCTAAAACACATCACACCTCACACACCCTCTCTCTCACGTACTAACACACACACACACATTAATTCGGTAACAATATACACACACATATACACACACAAATATACATACACGCAGAAGAAGAACTGTAATATCTCGTCATGTTAATTATATAAATCATGTATTTAGTTCCGATATAATAATATTGTCGAGTATTATTTTTCGGAATTAATTATTTTCAGTCGAAATTACCCGCTCGATGTCCCGTTTACGTTGGGAAAAATTTCGGGAATTAAGTATCATGTTAGCTAATTAATTAAGCATATAGATTATGCTTAATTAATTTTAATCGTGCTTATTGCATTAATTACCGTGAGCAATTTTCCCAATTTCATTTCTAAAAACCGTATGCATTTTATCAATAAATTAGGGAGATTTTTTTAAAAAAGGCTAAGCATGAGGTGGCTAATTTTTGGAGCCTAGATGATGACTAATGCTTTTAAGAGATGAGTTAGCACTCTTAAGTCTCCATTAGCTTACAAATGGCATCATATTATGAAACCAACAACATAGGTCATCATCTCTTCATTAGCCATAATCGGCCATTATATTTAAGGGAGACTTGGGATCAATTTTGTTTTCCATTTTCAGCATATATACCTCACCATAAGCTTAGTTATTAAGTATAGAGAGAATTAGAAATTTTCCCTTAGTTTATCAAGCATACGCGAGAGTACCGCACGGCGTACGCACGGAGTGATCGCACGCACACGCACGGAAGCTCCGATTTATCCCGAGCAGTTAGTGCGACCAGCCGAGTGTTCGAGAGGTAACTTCGTCTTACCTTAGATTGTTCATGTTA